ACCAAATGATCGCGCTTCTTATTGCTCCACTTTCACTTTTATGTAGCCATGCAGGATAGCGTTCTTGCACCTCCTCACACCTACTCTATATATGACATTAATTTGCTTTGCCACTTGACATTTAACCATGAGTATAATCACAAACATTTTAGTTTTAATTGCATTTCATACTACTACTACTATTATTATTATTATTTCATGCATTCACACCTAAGATTCAATTCCCTCACTAGATATAACTTCTTAAAAAAACCATATATAAACGATTGTACAGCGTGATAATAAATTTTTTGCATGGAAGATTTAATCATGAGCTGACATCAGTTAGAGAACCACTGGAAAACCTGGGAGTACTGGACATCTGTTTCGTCCTAGTTTGGGACTCTTCTGGATAGAGTCCCAGTGGCTCAATGGTCTACGAGCTCGCTAGCCTTGTAACCAGAAGGTCCTGGGTTCGAACCCCGTGGTGTGGGTGCGTACTGATGAGGAGTCCCAAACTAGGCTGACGAAACAGCTGTCCAGTACTCCTAGGTTTTCCAGTGGTTCTCTAACTGATATCAGCTCATGATTGAATCCTCCATGCAATCAAACAAAATCCCTACAAAACCAATACTTGAAAATAAATTTTTTGTTGAAAAGAATCTCTTCGCTGAATCATCACTTGTTTTGATTTCCTATATCATTTTTATTTGTCTTCCTTCTCCCCCATGCTAATGAACTACCTTTGAAATAGGAAAATACGCTTCCCTTTAAATTTTTCTCTACCACACCTGGATATACTACTTAATAAGATGCGAAAAACATTCCTTTACTGCCAATGTGGTTTTCTTTTTTGTTTTGAGTTATACGTGTTATTGCGAAATCAAAAACCAACTCACTACTCTTACTTCTGTATCGTATACCTATTTTAAAATGTTCACCTTGATTTTTGTTGTTGATGAAACAGAGATATGCGAAAACAGGCTTATAGGTTATGACTTGAGTTATTGAGTCATTTATTCACTCTGCATTCCATGCGTTCAGATCAGTTGTGGTTTACATGAGTGTGTTGTGTGTGTATATATATATGTATGTGTGTGTGTGTTTGGGGGTATACCTACAACACCACCATGTCGGCGAGCTGAAATAACTCACATTAAAAGTTGAAAAAAATACTACATTCTTTTCATGACAATGTGACAGCTAGACACTTAGTGTAGTATGAATTCAAGCATAAAAAATGTAGTCATCTAAACATCAACTGATTGATTTATAGGAATCTCAATGTGTAATACTCATTTTTTTTTTACTGTTGTTGGGCTTTTCTTTTTTCTTCTTTATGACTCAGTACATATTTGAAGGGAATTTTTGTCGGTGCAGATACTTTCAGAATGCCAGACCTGCGTTGTAATAGATTATTTAATTAATATATATATGCATATTTCTTTTTGTATTGACAATTCGTATGTAATTTGGCTTTCTATCTAACTAACTGTGAGTATTACTTAGAATTATTGCATTTGTGAGCACAAAAAATCGATTGATTTTAAATGAATTAAGTAAGACATTAAACTCACACAAGAAAAAGAATTTGAACAAATTAAGACAACAAAATTCCAGTCTTGTTAGATCTGTTAATCAAGAGAACTAATCCAGGGACTAATCTAGTCAGTTGGTGACACAGCGGTAGAGTGCTCGCCGACCACGCCACAGATGGTTTGGGGTTCGATTCCCCGCCACTGGATGCACTTCTTTACCTCGCTAAGCCAGTAATAATTTTTCTTTTTGATTACACCTTGATTCCACACAGTATTTTTTTTGGTACATATATCGGTAGCCCAAATTTTGCAGGCCAACCATAGATATCAGGTGTGCATCGGCAGGGGATCGAACCCTGGACTGTACGCATGGTCAGCGAGAGTCCTAACCACTGTGCCACCGACGCACAGACTGGTAAAGAGAGGAAAGGTTGGGCATGAGGTTGGCTAGCAACCCCATCGTGTGAAAATAATCACCACTGCTACAGAAACTTTAAGCTTTTAGCTTGAAAACGGCCTATGTTCCGCTGGGAACGTAGAGGAAATTAGGAACATACAATACCAAATTGTTAACTATACTATTAATAAGGCGAATACTGCTCATAAATGGAACTATGTGAAGATATTGTCCAGAAGAGTCGAAACATAGCATTATGGTACTCGGATGAAGAAGAGAATGAAAGAGAAATACCAACAGAATTTCATCAAAAAGTCTTTAAATTCAAGTCGTGTGATACCAACAAGAAACCATTATCAAAGGCCACAGGAAAACTCACTCTACCATATACATATACAGAATATTTTTGCAATAACTGCTAGAATATTAAGACCCCTTGAAATAGATATGGCATACAAGCCAGCCAACCTATTCACTTCATTCGATATTGTGCAAACCAAAAGATCCAACAAGAAACGAAGATAAAATTAATGGCATTTGCAAAATAGAATGTATAAATTGCAATAAACATCACATTCGAACATCATCACAAACGTCGAATTCACATCACATCACACATTCGAATCCCGGTGGGTGCGTACTGCTGAAGAGTCCCAAACTAGGACGAAACAGATGTCCAGTACTCCCAGTTTTCCAGTACTCCTTTAATTGGTGTCAGCTCATGATGAAATCCTCCATTCAATCAAACAAAATCCCTACAAAACCAATACTTGAAAATTAATCTGATGCCCACTAGCGACTGGCCCTATTCAGGCAGTTAACCTGGGGTTCTAGTGGGAAACCGTGACCAGTAGGGTACAGCAGGTCGAAGATGAGGCAGTAACTCATCGAAGAAGACATTTCGAAGTGGTCGCGCTATGTCGTGAATTGGCAGAAGTTAGAATTCAAGAACCATTGGATCGGGTCCCAGTGGCTCAATGGTCTACGAGCTCGGTAGCCTTGTAACCAGAAGGTCCTGGGTTCAAACCTCGTGGTGTGGGTGCGTACTGATGAGGAGTCCCAAACTAGGCTGACGAAACAGCTGTCCAGTACTCCCAGGTTTTCCAGTGGTTCTCTAACTGATGTCAGCTCATGATTAAATCCTCCATGCAATCAAACATCACCTTAGTCAAAGTGGATATTTCTTTTGAGTCCCGATTCAAGAACACAAATTCATATCTATGCGAGTAGATAATTACGGACACGAAATGTAGACACGGCGAGGAAACAATAAAAAGGCATTCAAGGAATTTCTATCAGTCTGGTACTCAAATGAATCAGCCAGCAATTAACAAACACATTACCTCTAAAGACGATAATTACCAGGTGATGAAAAATGAATCACACGACAAGAATCTCTGGATTCGAAGTCAATAAAAATGACCAATAGAGAAGTGAGTTAACAAACAATCAGATTATTCGTTGTCATTTCATACAAAAACGTGCACTGAAGCGATGCTGTCTCGAAGTGGGAAGGGGACAGCGAAAGCTACACGATTAAATCAACCAGCTCAGACAACAGAACTACTAAACCAAAAGCATCTCTTGCGTTCCGAGTGGAATATAGGGCTTCAACAACACATTTCCTTTTTGTTCTATTTCCTGCCATCCTCTTCATCTGGGTCTACGATCGCCCATAACATCCAGTCTCTTTCTCACACGGTCTCCTCCATTTCATCCACCTCCTGACGACCCACTCGTCGATTTCCAATGGGATTCCATTCGAGTGATGGTCTGGTGCGCGATGTTATTCAATGGTTTCCTCAATGAATGCCCGATCCATCTGCATTTTCTCTTACATATTTGTTGATCGATCGGTTTGTGGTTGGTTTGTTCCCATAGTTTCTTGTTGCCTATTCTTTCTCACCGGCCATTTGATCTTCAGTATGGAGCCAGCGAAGACAACTGTTGATGAAAGTCTGCACTGGCCTGTTGAAAATTCTTGTCGTGTAGTAACACACGCGCATAAAAAAAGACCGACTTCACACTAGTGTTGAAAATTAGAATCTCGTTCTTCAGGCTGTGTGCAGAAAATTTCCATATCGGTTTCAGTTTGTTGAAGGCTTGTTTTGCCTTTCCGATTCTTGTGTGCTAGTTTTGACATCTTCATCCGTTCCGAACTGCTAATGATTGAAACGATGCTTCCTAGATAAGTGAGGGAGATAACCTCTTATTCTTATTCCTGCATTCATCGAGAGAAGACACACCGGCTGTGATAAAGATAGTGTTAAACGGGGAAATTACGACCTACTTATTGTGTAATTAGCATAAAGACGACTCAGTTATTTCCGCATATTTGTTATTTTAGGGCGAAAGTCTCCCCAATATCTTGTAATTTTGTATGATTATTACTAATATTATTGTACCAAATGCTGAAAATTCCACACTGTATTATAGGTACTGTTTTAGAATAAGACAAATCCTCATTATTATTTTCTTAATTTCTATATTATGTCAAAAAGTGAAGACGACGACGACGACCAAATATTACTACATAAATGTAGGACAGTCTCAATTCCAAATTTAATCTAGTTATCATCACGAACCGACATCAGATAGAGAATCACTGAAGAGAACCAGAGAACGCTGAATAACTGTTCCCCTGAGGACATCTGAGGACTCTTCATCACTGACCGCCCACAACCTCATCAAGGACCCAACGAGGCCTGTATGATAACCATTTAGCCATTGGATCTGGATGTTCAATACCAGATGGAGTTATAGGTAGTGGATTCTACTGAGGAGTCCCTGGCTTATACGAAACAGCTCTCCGTCCAATACTCCCTGGTTTCCAGTAGGGAAATCTACATATTGAAATTACATTACATATTTTCCACTTCATTTAGACTTTCATAAAAAACAGAATGTGTAATAAGACATTGAGTGGCACTTAAAATTACTTATAAATTCACCTCCCTATCCTATGAATATTATTTTGTTGGTCAAATATAATAAAGTAACCAACTACTTACAATGTACATCACTAAGTAGAGTGTTTAACTAACCGTTTCTTTTGTTTTTGATTTTACTGTTTTCTTTTATAATAGAAAATTCTGAAAATGATGGAAAATCAGACAACAGTCGACATTCTAAACGACATGTCAATTACCTGTGTGGATCTGATGGGAAGTTGATTGTCACCGCAGCTGTTGCACCGGATTATGATAGAACTAATTAGTAAGTTTTTTTGAAAAATGAAACCCATTTCATTATAACATTATACATATTAACGCAGTTAATACTGTACTGTGGACTAATTGCCCAAAACAAAGCGATATTAGATTAAATCACATCACGCTGTTGTTAGATTCTGTCTGTATAAATAAATACACGCTGTTATAGCCCGCGTGGTTTATGATAATAATGGTTGGAGGCAGTCGGCCACACAAAGCTTTGGACATCACCTAGGTTTCGTGCTAGTTGGCCCTCACCAATCAGTCAGTAAGGCGTATCTGCAACCGCCTTGAAGGGACTCATGTTCCTTGTGAGATTCGAACCCGCGTCACCCACTGAGTGCTCCAGTCAGAAAGAGAGACATTACCACTGAGTTATTCAAGCCTCCAAACATCTGAACATGTGAACAATTTACAGTTAACCGTGAAATCAAGCCACCTAGTGGCATGGTGATGACCAATAAAATTTATTCTGCGCCAAATATTTGGGAGGAAAAGACACATTACACTAGTTATTGACTACTGTCCAGTCAAAATGATATCTCTAACTGTCCTAATAAATATGATGTGATATGCTACGCTGTATTTACAAAGCTTATGCATAAAAGCTGCGCGTCGGTGGTTCAGAGTTGAATAGACTTGCCGACCACGCCTCACGTGCTCCGGCACTTGGTCCTCAGCCAAATCAAAGCACTCCTAAACCTTGCTAAGCTGGTAAAGAGGCGAAGTAGGGCATGAAGCTAGCAAATCAATCCTGAACCCCTACAAACGATAGAAACCACTTCTACTGAAACTTCAAAGCTCAAGCTGGAAGCTCTGTATTCGATAACCTTTTCTTCATAAAGTGCCGTTCGCGCTATAATCACTGACTAGTAAAAGTTGGAATTCATGGACTGACTGAATGACTGACTGGGCATTAAGGAGTGGGATTCCAGTAGCTGGACTGTCTAAGAATTAGCTAGCCCAACTTTCAATTGCAAGGTGATAGATGGAAATCTTGTCAGTGAGGTGGGTGGATAGTGGCGATGAGTCGGAAACTAGGCTGATGAAACAACTGGCTATCCAGTAGTCCATTGCTAGTTTTACAATGGTTCTCTAACTGATGTCAGCTCATGATGAAATACTCCATCAGATGTGTCTGGTTATCATTCATATATATATATATATATATTGATTGGGCACTAGCAACTGGCATGATATGTCTAGTCGTTTCTATGGTGCAGACTGAATTCTATTAGTCAGGTTTGTAATGTGGACACTATTCTAGGTAGCTCACCATGAGTTCCTTCAAGATTGCAGATACGCCTTTCTAATGAGTGCCAACTAGCACGAAACCTAGGTCCAAGGATTCGTGCCGATTGCCTCCAACCATCTAATATATATATATATATATAATTCCAGTAGATTTACCATTAGGTTAGTATTAAAGTTTAACATCAAAATAGTAATATTTATTCTTTCTTGATGTTGATAATTTCATTCGCGTTTTTAAGGTATTTTTTAAATCTTGTGGATAAGTTATTCTAATGATTCCAAGTGTGATGGTGACAACAGTTCCCTTGAATCATCATAATTTAAACATGTTTGTCATAACATATAATAATAATGAGAATAATCTACTTTATTCCAAAACAGACAGTACTCATAATACAATATGGAATTTTCAGCATTTGTCACAGGATTGCCTGTCATTTACTCAAAATATAAATAAAATCGATATAAAACTTGGGCACTGTGATATAGTATAACTCCAATATGGATAAGATTATATTTTGATAAATCACACAGTGCTATACAGTAATATTAACTGATAAGTAAGTTTCGAGCACAAATTACTGCTAATCATAAACACACCAAGCTACTCACATAATATTCTTGCTTCATTTATATTATTATTATATCTTTTAATTCCTAGAGGAACATAGGGCTTCAGCTGCATACCTCCATTGCCTTCTGTTTTCTGCCAACTTTTTCACCCCACTCCAAGTCTGCCTACATGCTTTCATCTCCTCTTCACATGACCTCCTACAAGTCATCCTTGCACTGACGATCAACTCGCCGCCCGCTTCCCTTTCGGGTTCCACTCGAGCGTTGGCTGGTCTAGTGATGTCGCTTACTGGTTTCCTCAGTGTATGGCAAATCCGTCTGCATTTATTCCTGCCTATTTGTTTCAGAGGTCCCTGTTGCTGATCTTTTCTGGCCGGCCATCTGATCTTGAGTATTGAGCGAAGACAACCGTTAATGAAGGTCTGTAGTTTGTTTGAGATGCTCTTCATGACGCGCTGGCCAAGTCTCTGATCCCCACATTGAGTAGTACTGACTTCAAATTGGAGTTGAAAATCCGGATCTTATTTTTGATGGTGAGGGCTGTTGACCTCTACACAGACTTGAGAGTAATGAAAGCTTGTCTTGCTTTTCCGATTCTTGTTTTGATATCCTCGTCAGTTCTGTCGGCCTGTAGTTGAAACGATGCTTCCCAGGTAGGTGGGTAGGTAAAGGAGGTTGTTTCTCTCAGGTTCCTCCCATTTGTGCTGGCTGATTGTTGTCCGTTGTTGTTGTTGTTGGTGGTGGTGTTGGCCAGGAATCTTCATCACCTCTGTTTTCTCTATGTTCACCTGTAGTCTTATCTTTGATGCTTCTTGTGCCAACTTGTTGCTCTTCACTTGCATATCTTCCAGTTTGTGGGAAATCAGACATATATCGTCGGCGAAGTCCAGGTCCTCCAAGATTTTTTGTGTGAGTCCATTTTATGCCTGTTTCGTTGCTGCCTAGCCCATTGTCTGTCACATTATCCAATCTACTGCAATCAGGAAGATCATTGGCGATAATAGACAGCCTTGCCTCACTCCCGTCTTCACTGCTTCGAAGGCTTCCGTAATTTTCCCGTTGTGGATTACTTGGCATGCAGCTTCATTTATATACATGTGTGAAAAGGTGATGATTAGACATTTGAATAAAGACAATATAGGATAAAGTACATTCAGAGATAATAATATGAGTTATCAATCAAATACAATCAGATCGAAAATGAGACGAGTGTTTTTATAGACAAAATAGGTAACTTGGCTGAATTTTATGAAGTACATGAATTGAAATTTAATTTTGAGATTATTAATTATCCTCCTGTAATTTGACTTACTGGTGGTAATAATATCTTCCATGCAAATCTCTGGTATTTGCATTGAGTCATTTCCGTTGCATGTGCTGCGTTGGGTGTAGACTCGATGAACCAGGATTCATTAATCAATCTCTCTCGCTGTCCACTTACCTATAGTACTTTTGCGAATTTGAACCCTCTCCCAACCATCCTATTGTGTGGTTGTGTGTTAATGCATGCAGTCCAATGCGGTGCTGAGCTTTTCTTTTCTCTAAATTACTCATCTATCTTCGTAGGGTCAGTCATTCTGACCTTAGCCACGAAATTCTTATGTTCTGATAATCTGACCACCCCTGACCTACTAGTCTGACCTATTTAGTTGACGTCACTCATAGTCATTGAAGAGTATTTTGTAAATTGTATTATTTTGTTTAATTGGATCCGCCGGGTCTTTTATCCCACAGAGATTGTCCTACCTGAGTGAATTTTTGTAGGTTTGAATGCCACTCACTGTAATTCCTGTTTTATTACGAATCCTACATAGAGCCTCAAGTGTCCCCTCTCCTTACATAGTAAAACTTCAATTAGATGCTTTATATTCTTTCTTATTATTTATGTTATCATTATTGGTTTCACCAATAATTTTATTTTGCTTTTGACCATTTTTGATATTCATAATACATTTTGTAAGATAGTTAGTTATTTAACACCAATGTTTCTCCTATTTGATATGATATTTGATATGATTATGAGTGGCAATAATTGGTACTTGAAAAGTGGTCATCAGTTAATATTACTGTATAACCACACTGTGTGACACTTTATCAAAATAAAATCTTATCCATAATGGAGTTATAGTCTATCTACCACAATGTTCAAGTTGTATACCTATATCGATAGAGAAAATTGTTTTTTAACTACCGGGAAGAAGGTTAGTTAGTTACTTCGTGTCTGACACTGTTTCTATGACGCAAAATACGTACCGCTAAGTATGGTATCGTGGAATTTTTATACTTAAACGTGCGCTCGCGTAAAGTTTTTTGAAATGACTCCTTGTTCTACCTGAAGAGATTTATCAAGGTGAAAGCTGCGGGTGAAATTGAAGCGCACAGTCTGACAAAATTCCTTTAGCAAATTTGTTGCATGTAATTAACTGTCTTCAGAATCCTACGACCTATGACATGCAACCTCGAAAGAATAAAGGTGAACAATAACGAAGAATAGGCACGATACACGAGTAGACAAAAGAGGTTGAGTCATGCCTGAATACCTTTAATTCCTAATGTAAAGCGTCAGACGGAATAGTTTACGAGTAGAAATTGCTAAGACATGCGAAGATTAGAATAGATCAGAATAAAGAGAATTATTCTAAGATACTTAACGTCAGACTTGATTTCTCTATCGATATAACAGTTTCATCAATAAACTTTTTTTTACATTTGAAGCTGAAATGCGCATAAACACAACACACTGTGTATCTACCAGCTTTATATTTCACTTCATGTACTGGTAACATTATTTCGCAAATATTTATATATACAAAAATTTATCTATACTTGTATACAAGCAAGTCGAAAAGTATACATATATATATATATATTTACCAGTTGATCACGGATTGATATCATCAGTTAGAGAACCATTGAAAACCAGCCGAGAAGTACTGTCAGACAGTTGTTTCACCAGCCTAGTTTGAGAATCATCACCAGTACGCACCCACCACGTGCCAGGGTTCGAACCCAGGATCTTCTGGTTACATAGCAAGCTCGCTCGTATACCATTCAGGCAACAACTGGGACCCGATTCAACGGCCAGAGCGTGAATTATAACTTCTACCAATTCGTGATGCATCTGGTGCGACTGGCATCAACCAATGTCATCAGTGAGACATCTATCCTCACATGTGA